CAAATACAGAGACACAACTAGAGTAAAGAAAATATAGAGCCAAAGAGAAATATATTAAGTGTTAAGGCAGTGTGCATATCATTTTCTATTTAGTCCAATTAGTCTATTTATAGTATAAAGTTAGGTTAAAGTCTGGCGTGCAATACTAGATGTAAGGGAGAAGTAAGAATAAGAGAAAACTTGACAACTAAGGGAATTAAAAGGGAAAACAGAATGTAAAGAATAATGTAAGTACTGAAGTCTATTTCTAGGCCGAAATAAAGGCTGAAATAAAGATTCATTCATTCGTACTGTATTTTTCATGCTCATAAGGGGACAGTTCTGACAAAAGGAATTTAATGAAAGGAATCAGAAACATTCGTCTCGAAGTATAAAGACAAACAAAATTGTGACGCAAATTTTTGTAAAAAAAAAGAAAATCAGTAACTGAATTTGTTATTCACGCTGGCCAGAAACGACAAATGTGAAAAAAAGTTTTCACGAAAAAAATTGAAATTCGCTTGTTACCTGGGAATAATCTCGAAATAAAAAGGGATCAGAGATAACAGTTTCTATGAAAGAAATCAGCAGGTAACTGAAATTCGTTTGTTACTTACGCTAGGAATATTCATCTCTCCAAAATATAAAGGAACCAAAGGAGACAACAACTGTGACCAAAATAAAAAAAAAAAAAAAAACATTTTATTGGAGAAATAAATATGCAACTGAAACTCGTTTGTTACTTACGCTCGAAATATAGAGGAAGTTGAAAAAGAAAAGGAAGAGAACTGATTAGGAAATATTTGCCAATAATCGTTATCGACGGAATTCTATTTTTAGTAGTTATCGATAACGGGAAATTTACTTCGTTTGCCTCTGATAGCTATTGACGGGGTAAACTCCATTTCGGTCGTTCACGATGCGTTCGACGGTGAAACAATGTCAAAACATTTCCAGAAACCGTGGAGTTGCTCTCCGATGTAAATCTTCGCGGAAATTGACGAAATAAACTTCCCTCGTCGACAATCGTTGCCAGCAAACCAAGAAATAATTGTCCTCCTCAACTATACACCTCCAAAAACTACAACAATTGCGAAATGACGATCTTTTTTCAACTCAATGCAATCACGTTAGTTTAGCCGAAAATAAAAATCGATTATCATCCCATGACTCGACTTGACTCTCGTTCCGATTACAATAGTCACGATCCTTGATTCCACGTATCGCAGTATTTTATCCACTGTGTCCGACGAGGCACGAAGTAGCACGAGCCAATAATACGCGATACCGGCTAAGTTAATATCGCAGCTCGTTTCGTTTCGCAACGTTGAATCGAAAACGGCTCGTTTTCATGAAGAAAGAGAGATACATAATTGAATGCTCGTCGATTCTAGTTACCATTGGCCCTGTCCCTGTTATAAAAAAAGGAACAGGTAAGAACGAAGAACGGAATGGAAGTCGATAACATCCGTCGAACGATTCCTTCAATTTTTCTTCCTTCTTACTCTTGCCTGCTTGCACCTTTCCTTCGTCGAAGGGAAACGCGTTCAAACGTAGAAATGCCCGACGAACAACACAGAGTGGCCACTGAAAGACTGAACGGTTTGAAAAAGGTCGTAACTTGCTCGTACATTCAAAATGGTGGTCATTTGAGGGACGTTAAATACTGAACACGTAATACTAAAAAAAAAATTCATTAATTATGCTTCCAAATAATAAAAAATGTTGGTATTCAAGGATGGATGTCACCATTTATTAGGAACTTGTTGCGACCGTTACCTCTTGAAAATTAACATCAACGCCATTTACACAATCGTTCCGCCGAAAAGTACGTTCCCTGTAAACCGACATCGCCAACTGTACATAAACTCCTAACATAAGAATATTTGTAAATTGTTATTTTATTTTTATTATTACCATGGAGATGTTATTTACCATATACCATGTTTACTTATTTATAGAGATGTATATACAGACCGCCATTTTATAATTTGTTATTCATTCCTTAATCAACATTCGGAGAAAACCAGTTATCTATTTGTGCTACAAACTTTATTATTGTTTAAATATCATTTATTATAATATTATAATTTATATTTTATTATAAAAATGTTATATAAATTACAATTTTTTAAAAGTTACTTAAGTTACCAAGTTCTTCTTATTTATTTGTAGCATTATGATATTATCATCGTAATCACTACAAACTTTATTTTAGTTTTCTTTTTCTTTTTTTTTTTTTTTTTTTTTTTCTTTTTTTTTGTTTACTATTGCGGTGTCCTCACGTTGCTACGCAACGCTATGTGTTTAATCATTTAATCATTTAAAAAACAAGTTTAATCACTTCTTCCGAATATTTAAAAGACGTTTCACGTAAAGTCTTTAATAAATATATATATTCTTCACCATTTACTGGACACGCATGTTTCTCTGTACAAAATTCCACCCGAAACATTAAGAAAACATGTGTTTGTAAAAGTTATTTTTAAAGTTTGATATCATTCAGTCTTTCAGTGACCATCCTATGGAGTTGACGAGGCGAACGAACGATCACATTTCTATCGCGATCGAAAGCCTCGAATAATTCCCATCGACATCGTTGTCTCTCTCGCGATAAAAACGAACTGTCCCCAGTGTCGTCTCTCTCTCGTTTCTCGCAGAAACGGAGAAAGTTTCAACGAGAAATTGAAACAAAATAAATCGCCGAGGAAATATTCCGGCTGACAAAATATTTGTACGGGCGATCGTGTGAAATATCGGCATCGTCGTTCGTGGTATAATGCCGCGTAACGCGAGGACACGCGCGATATTTACAGGATCGACGGATCGGAAATGCCGATTTCATTGGCCACGAGATTTCCATGCCTATGAATAATCGATCGGCCTCGGCTTTGGCAACTCTCTGAAGAGCAAAGAGAAAGAGAGAGAGAGAGACAGAAAGAGGCCAAAGAATGAAACATCTGTGTCGACGATTGAATATATGAATGAACGTTGCGACAGATGTATCGCGGCTACGTTTCCGCGGTCTACGTGCCGCTCTACGATGCGGCAGGAAACGCAACACGTGCACCTTTGCAGTATTTTCGAACGCGCATTTCATGGAGGATTCTTCTCTCGTTTCTTTTTCTCAAGGGGCAGAGGGGAAGGAGGATTTAATAAGACGTTACGATGCGGACGAAACTTGCGCAGGCCACGGCATCTTGTGTTTTCTACGTTCTCTATCGTCGAACGTGCGAAATTGCACGGAGCACGCACTGCGCGCGAAAAATACGTGCGGCGACGAGCGTGATTGCACCAGTGACAATGAAAAATTGTCGTTAATTTCAGGTAATAAGACCTCCGACTGTGAAAAAAGAATCACGTAATCCATCCATTTCGTACCGTTTCAAAGCGTGAAGCCTCTCTACTTGCGACAGTTGCGCGTTTGTTCTTTTCGAAGATGACCTCGGATCACGTGAAATATTTCTTTACTACGGGCAAATCCACCGTGGTGTTGAAGATTAACATTTTTTTTTCTTGACAGCGAGTCCTTGGAATTTGTTGTACGATCTTTCCTTGTCGTTCTTATCGAAGTTTGAACGAAGCCTGATGTTCATAATCAAAATCATGTGGTGGATCCACGAGAAAGAATTTTTCAATGCCTTTGCACGCATGTTTCCGAATTTTGACAATTTTCGAAAAGAGAACTATCCCCAATTTTATAATTTTTAATGTAAGAATGTTTTTAATGTTTTTATACATGTTTGAATTTTGACAATTTTCGAGAGAAAACTACTCTCATTTTCTCACGTAATGTAAGACTTTTTAACGTTTTTACGTACGTTTGAACTCTGACAATTTTCCAGAGAAAACTATATTCATTTTCCCACGTAATGTAAGACATTTAACGTTTTTACGTACGTTTGAACTCTGACAATTTTCCAGAGAAAACTATATTCATTTTCTCACGTAATGTAAGACTTTTTAAAGTTTTTACGTACGTTTGAACTCTGACAATTTTCCAGAGAAAACTATATTCATTTTCTCACATAATGTAAGACTTTTTAAAGTTTTTACGTATGTTTGAACTCTGACAATTTTCCGGAGAAAACTATCCTCATTTTCTTAAATAATGTGAGAATCGTCTATGAAAAATGCAAACTCACTGTTGTCAAATTATCATAGAAGCTTTGCGCTTTAAAACAAAACCAAGTAGTTCATTATACGATTCTTTTTTTATAAAGTTATACCGACAATTTTTCACTATCATTGCTCTATAATTACTGTAATTACTATAATCATTATAATTATGCTCTTCGCCGTGTATACAGCTCATTACGCTGATTTTTTATGATTTTCAACAGTACGTTAAATCATCTTTAAAAAAAAAAAAAAAACACTTTAACACTAGAGTCAAAGTGGTCAAAATGACCAATTTATAACTTTTTTTAGAATAATTTTGCTGACTCGCAATTTTGCGTTTTTTAAATACTCGATTTGTCGAAAGTTTGCGCTTATTATCGTATTGTGAACCTTTTTCTATATATTTCCTTGCGTTCTAGTATCTTCGTCTCAATTTTTATACTTTGGTCCTCGATAGTTCTAGTGTTAGAGTCCAAGGTGGATCGTTGTTCAATGTTCGCGTACATCAACGGAAATTATCATCGCCGTTGGTGAAAAGATTACGCCCACGTCGCCGAGAACAAGTTAAAATATTTCTCTGCGATCGCAAAAGAAAATTTCGCACGAATCCGCGTGAATTTGCATCGCGGAAGACCGCGTGACTCGAAGCGATCGTTGGCGTGTAAACGTGATTCATTCAGCGTCGCGCCGGTTTCATTTTCATCGCGTGCGAACTGTGACGCATCGACTGGCGGAAGCGGCGTCGCAACGGCGTTATTTCCGGCGACGACACCGGCATTTTGTCCGCCACGCTTTATCGTTCTCCAACGATAAAGTTCGTTTCCTTTCTCTCCATTTTCGTCGCGTACAGCCAATAGACAGACCAACGTCCGCCTCGAGATACTCTCCTATACACTCACCGGGCGTGAAGTTCACCGGTTTCTCCTTGAATTCCAAGCAGCCGTTGTAGAACTGGCCCAGCTTCTCGAACTCGCCCACCATGTGGCCGGTATCGTTCGCCAGCAGCTCTGAGAAACATCAAACGTTCGTCTGTTAATCGTTGAATCGCCTCTGGTGTCTCGAGGAGGTGACACAATCGCGATCGAATGACGTAAACAGAAAATCGAGCGCGACAGAGAGGGAGAAGAAAATAGGATTACGACGAGGATTAACCTCTTGCGCTGGACTGACGTTGAGGATTTTTTTGTCGCATAATTGCAATATTTTCTTCAATAGTTTCAATTTTTTTTTTTTTTTTTTTTTTACAACATAATATTGTTTCTTTTACATTTACAGTTTCATTTGCATTCGTTATTCTTTTCTCTTTCTTCCCTGAATTTCGATTCGTGCCGTGTGAAGTGTATTCGTCCCGCAGTGAACTTTTCGTTCAGTCCGTTTGGAATTGTCATTGCAAGACGAAGAATTTTTTAAAAGTTTGTTATAAAGTCATGTATTGACATCTTGATAACGTGTTATTCCGCGTTTATCCTATTCTGGAGCGTAAACGATCATTTCCTCCGACTGTCTGTTAAGATCGACTCAATTCGGTAAGAAGACACTGTCGAATTTGTTATCAAAATAACGTTGAAAAGTTGAAATAAATATTATTCATTAGTATTTAGTATTATTGCATAGTATTATATAATTTATACAATAAGTATTCTGAGCGTAGTATTATAAAATTTGTGTAATAAATTATTATTGTTTCGTACATAAACAATAATGTTAAAGACATTTGGAACAAAATGTTCTGCTTCAAATCAATTTTTTGACATCCTTAAAAAATTATTTGTTGAAATAATATCTTAAAATTAAATTTATTGCTTTCTTCTCCAATGCATCTTACTACACTTCTTGATAATTATAGTTTTTGCACTATTGTAAAAATTCTAAAAAGCAAAGCTATTAATCGCTCACGGTGGCCTAAACAGAAAATGACCAAAAATCAACGTACACGCTGGAATGAGAATTTTTTGTCTTAAAATTGCAATATTTTCTCAGTTTCAAGTATATATTTAAGTACAACCGGGGCAAAACAAAATAATAAATTTATAACTTCTATCCAGCGATGTCGTACCGGCGAGCACTCGAAAGGAAAACGGCGAGTTATTGTACAAGATTTTGGTCACTCGTTATGGTCCGCAATCAGTTTGCCAGCGCAAGTGGTTAAGAAAGGAACGGTCGTAAATAATTCAGTAACGAAAGAGGCATCAATTAAATCACTGAATATTATCTTCGTGGATCGACGGTCGAGCCATAAAAATGACAGAGAGTCGAGTCGAAGTCGAAGAACAGTCGAGAGGCACAGTCGTACAGAACGAAACGCAGTGAAACACAGTTCCGCGAGCGCTGGAGGAAACTCGGCACCGAAATACTTTTCGCGGCTGCAGGGATATAAGTCACGGGCATAAATCACGGATTCATTGCTCTATAAAAAGATCGACGCGAAGCTCCGCTGAATATACGCTGTTACGAATGTTCGAAAATGGCAAAGGTTCGTTTGGCTATCGGTAAAAGCGCGCCTCTCGAAGCAGGTGACTCCGTGGAAATAGATCGCGCCGGGGATTCCGCGCCGAGGAGTCTCCGGTATTGAAGTATTCAGAGTGGTAGCCTGGGTAAAAATAAACCGGAGCTAGCACGTTGCTGCACGTTACTCTCGCGCGCTGTGAAAGTGAAAATTCGCGCACGAACGCGACGAGAAAGCGAGCTGGAAACCGGGAAACGTTTTAATTCGAAAACGAACGCTGTCGTTTCCCAAAATGTATCTCCAGTTCCAGCTCGACGATTTTAAGATTCGGCAAATCGATTTGCGATACCGAGTTCGAGCTCGGCCAATAAGTCATCGCGTTGGGGGGAGGGGGAGGCCGAGCGAGAGACGAAAGAAGAAACGAGGAAACGAGGGAGAGATTCGACTGGTTTCGCTTGTTCGAGGTCGTTCGACGAACGATCGTAGCCTGTATGTGGAGCATTGTGTCGAGTCATAGGACAACGTGCATGACACACTTCCGTGTGCACGTATATCGATTAACATGAAATATTTATAGTACGGCCAACCGTGTGGCCGATCCGGCCTTCCGCGAGGCCTTTGCTGACCTCCTGCAGAACGTCCTCGACTTCCAACCCGCGTCTTTTCTTCGTTACCACATTTATTGGAGCTGCGAAGCCCTGAACGCGTTACAACGACACCTCGCATTTACGCCTGGCATTTCCCTTTTTCACCATTTCGTTACGAATGTCGGATATATACACAGCATATATCGACGTGTTGGAATAATCACATGTTAAAAATACATGATATATTTTAGCCATCGAGGCGAGCTTCTCTTCTATTTTCGACGGTGCAAATATTTGTACGATAAGAAATTCTTCGTAATGAGAAATCTTACTTGATCTATTGCAATTCGGAAAAATCAGGTGCAACTCTTGGATTAATATCTTGAAAATTTGAGGTTAGATTTTCGTTTGAAGAATTAAAGTTTGTTTGGAAAGGAAACATTCTACACCCTTGCCAAAATGTTACCAGGGAATTCAAAAAATTTAAGGTTGGATTTAAGGTTAGATTTTCGTTCGAAAAATTAAAGTTTGTTTGAAAAGAAAACATTCTACACTCTTGCCGAAATGTTATCAGCAGTTTCAAAAAACACTCGACAGTATTTGTACGATAAGAAATTATTGTGAAATGGATCTTTCTTAGTCTATCTAGCAATCCGGAAAAGACCGACTACAGGTGTAACTGTTAGTCTCAAAAATTTGAGGTTAGATTTTCGTTTGAAAAATTAAAGTTTGTTGGGAAAGAAAACATTCTACACTCTTCCCAAAATGTTAGAAGTTTCAAAAAACACTCGACAGTATTTGTACGATAAGAAATTATTGTGAAAAATCTTTCTTAATCTATCTAGCAATCCGGGAAAGACCGACTAGGTGTAACTGTTAGTCTCTTAAAAATTTGAGGTTAGATTTTCGTTTGAAAAATTAAAGTTTGTTACTAGGAAATTCAAAAAATTTAAGGTTAGATTTTCGTTTGAAAAATTAAAGTTTATTTGAAAAGGAAAACATTCTACGCCCTTGCCAAAATGTTACCAGGAAATTCAGAAGATATAAGGTTAAATTTAAGATTAGATTTTTGTTTGAAAAATATTCTACTAGCTCCTTGTGAAAATGTTGCCAGGAAATTCAAAAATGATTCGATTTCAGAACGAATTGACTCTGAAAATGATTCGATCAATGTATGTACTTCTGACGTGGGCACTATCGTACTCGTTCAGTGGCAGTGAGAGGATTAATCGTTATCGTCTACAATCCTCAACTGTTGTTTCAACGTGTTTCTGTTATTGAGTTATCTGTTATACCTGTTATTAAGTAATATCGCATTTTCGCAGTAAATGATTTGTTTGTTTTTTCCGTGGCAAAGTAATGCTTCTAACACGTTAATCGTTGATACTTTGAAAAGTTAGTTAAAAGAAAGCATCAAGCTTGAATTATACTTTTCTTTTCTTCAATCTTTCGCTGCGAAGACGAGCGACGAGCAATTATCCTTCTTTATTTCCCAGAAAGGGAAAAACGCCACACACAAACAACAGAAACGATTCGCAGAACACTGGACAAAAATTTAACTGGAAGGTTTTTATGCACCACAGAATATTCCCCTAATGTAGCACCCTGAGATCTAGATCATTACAAAATTCATTTAACGACAAAACATTTAACGACTTTTCATTCCCCGGAGGCTTGCAAAATGCATTTTTTTTTCTTTTTTTTTTTTGTCGAAAAGGATAGTGAATTGCATAATCGCAACGTGGAAAAGAAAAATCACACGAAAAACAATGAACGATATATTGTTGAATGAAATTCTCGTTATTTGCCAGAAATGTGTCCATTATTAATGCGAAATCACCTATGAGACAGCTGTGCATGTAAATTTCACCTGCATCGAGCAGTTTCGGCTTTCCACCTCCCCCTCTCGCGATCCCACTCGACGACCGAATTTCCCCGAGAAGTAAGAACCGCGGGACTCAAAGGGGAAATTATTTCGATAAATAATAACCGGCCGGAGATCTCGAGTGTCGCGAGAAATAAAACTGCGAGTCGAGGGTGGAGAGGGAGGAGGGATACTTCGATTAATAATCTACGCGAGGACTGGTGGCCGACAGCGGCGTAAATTGAAAATCGATATTACGTCTGCGTCCTTACGCTGCAACCCTGCCTCTCGACGCGGTCGTAAAAGGAATTAGAATTTAATGCAATCAGGAGTGACGTCGCCGTGGGTGTCCTGACGGGTTCAACATCGCGGATTTCGACGAGAAAGAAAGCGATTCGCCGGTCAGTGGAAATCGAACAGACGGAGTTTCTCGAAATTATTCATCGGAGGTTGTCCAAGGTAAACCCAAGGAGAACGACGAACGACATTAGGCTGTCCCGAAAGTTTCTTCCTGTTCAATGAATAATGCATGCACGATGCTTTTATATATCGCAGCGCGTGTTATCGAGTTCTATATACGACCAACTCCGTCGTTTCGAAAGATTCGTGATGATTCGTCCTTCCGTAACTTCTGGCGTTTGCCAGAATACAGGAATATCGTTCGTAGGTGTCATTTATTGAGTCTTTGAAGTGTCTTTGAGTTCATCTTTTGAAGAAATATATCGGTCGATATGTGGAGGACATCGTCTGATTATTATCTGTTCTTCTTATTTCAAACAATTCATAGTGAATGATATGAAAATACATCTGCAACGACTGCGATTCGCTAGCAAAATGTAGAAATTTTGGAAATTTTATATTTAGGCTACTTTTAGGAGGAGGATAACAAATGAGAATTGATCATAATTCAATGATATGACGTGAAACATAAAATTATTCTGCATTAAACGAAGGAATATATATAAAATATATACTGTATTATATTATTCTGTATTATACTATACTATTATACTATACTTATATTGTATTATACTGTACTATTATACTATACTGTATTATACTATATATAGTATTCTGTATTAAACGAAGGAAATATATATAATATATCCT